GGAAAGAGTTGATGCCTAATGTTGCAGATAGAAATGAAGAGAAAGTGAAAAGTTCTTCTAAATATATAACCAGGAACTAGACAGTAGGGATTCTGAGGCAGAATTTATTGATGGTAATAAGGGTTTGGAATGGAAACAATACGCATTTATCAAACTGTATTAGCAAGAACTAGGGAAGAAGTATAAGAAGAGATCACTTGAACATTTAATTATACTTTATTTTGAGAGGAAATGTATGTGCTATTAAATATTTTGTAATTATTATTTTTTTGAGAGGTTTTTGCTATAGGGTGCGTGTGCTCACCAGAAAGACAGAGAAACAGAAAGCAAGAAATCACCCCCCAGGGAAGATAGCCATGCCGCAATCCCTTCTCCTCCATTCTCCTCTCGGCATCTTGGGTACGCATGCACATGCACCCAGCATGAGTTTAAGCCACCGGGTCCCAGACTCGAACTGCGGTCGGCTACATGGGAGTCCAGCAAAATAGCCCTTACACTAACTGCTGGTCCCTGTAATTATTCATTTTAACTTAAAATATTAATTAAATATTTTGTGAGAGAAGGGATCACTCATGTGAGTACTAAGAAACTGAATGATGCTTTACAAGTTATCCTAAATTTTTTTTTTTTTTTTTAGAGAGAGGTTTTTTTGCTAAAGGGGCATGTGTGCTCGCTGGAGACCCAGAGAGACAGAAAGTGAGAAATCATACACGCCCCCACCACCACCAGGGGCGATGGCCGTACACAGTCCCTTCTCCTCCATTCTCCTCTTGGGATTTGGGGCATGTATCCACACGCGCCTGGCATGTTTTAAGTCCCTGGGTCCAGGAAGTCCGGCAATATAAGCATTTCGCCATCTGCTGGTCCCTTTCCTAAATTCTTTTTAATGTTTAGATCTCTTGATAGATTGCTGTGTGTGTGGGGGGGTGGTGGTGACTGCTCTTTTTTTGCTACTTATTTTAATATTTCTATACAACGTTCTGTTCATGGGAAGTTCTTAGTAAATAGAATGATTTGAATTATTGAAACGTATCTTCTAATTTTAAACAGTCATGGCTTAAATAGATCTTTCTTCTCATCCACTCTAGAAATTGTGTATATGCACCTCGGATCGTGAGGGTAGGGGCTTGCCTCCAACTTAGGGGAATAAGAAATGTACTCTATTTTTAAGATTCTAACAATGCGGTTCATGTTTTGAAATCCCTTTCTCTGCATATCCTTATCTTCTTAAAATATTTAGTTAGGAATCTTATAACAGGGGGTTTCTTTCAGGATTTTAGTATTTCCTGGGCTATAAATAATAGAGAATAGAAGTCGTCTTTGTCTTTCCCTTTGAATCTAACTCAGAAGGTTTGGGCTAAAAAAGTTAGGTGCGTATTTTAAATAAAGTATTAGAACCGTTATACAGAATTTGGTTTTAGCCATAGAAATCAGTTTGACATTTTTTTCAAAGTGAGGGTGTATGAAGCAGAGTAGACCTTTCAAGCCTAAGTCCTGATGCTTCTTAAATGCATGTGATTCTCCCATTCTGAAACCCACCTGCTTCATTTTCCTGGTCCTTTCGAACTATTATGTTCACTTGCAGTATCTTGGAACACAAGCAAACAGAGAACCTTTAGGACAAAAACTTGGATAGTTGTCTGAATTCAGTTGCCTGAATCCTTTTGTTTGCTAGAAAAGTTTTCCTTCCAGAAAAAGGGCAGCTAAAAAGAGGACCAATAGCTCATTCAGCACAGGGCTTGTAAAAGTGAAAATACTTGACTGGTAGAGAGTGAAATTTCATTCCTATTGTCTTAGATTCTTCTTCTGCATCGATTCTTTCTTTTGGAAAGTCTTTCTTTGGGAGCACCATGCTTCTCACCTGGGAAATTCTTCTGGGAAATTTGAAACGAGGTATTTGAAGATGTTAGTTATTTCCTAGCTTAGTAGAAGCAAGAGATGCCTGGTGAGGTCTGGTATAGTTTCTCAAAGGAACATTTAAACTAAGGATTGATCAACAAAAGAAACAATGTGTATAGAAATTGTTTTAACTTTCCAAATTGGGAAAAATTTTCTGAAGAATACCCATTCTTGGGAACCAGCAGTTAGCGTAATGGCTATGTCGCTGGACTCCCACGTAGTCGACTGCGGTTCGCGTCCTGGACCTGGTGGCTTAAAACTCACACTGGGTGCGTGTGCGTGCGTGCCCAAGATCCCGAGAGGAGAATGGAGGAGAAGGGATTGCGGTATGACCATCCCTCCTGGGGGGTGATTTCTCGCTTTCTGTCTCTCTGTCTCTCTCTGTCTGGTGAGCACACGCGCCCTATAGTGAAAACCTCTCAAAAAAAAAAAAAAAAAGAATACCCATTCTTTTATACACTTTCCAGTGTATTTTTCTTTCTGGATATTTTCTAGATATCTATTTGTAAGTTGTCTCTAAGTAACATAAAAATTGAACTGCAGAGGTCAGCAGGTGGTGTAGTGGTTAGGGCACTGTACTCCTACATGGCTGATCATGGTTCAAGTCCTGGACTGGTAACTTGATAATCATGCCAGGCACATGTGTATACATACCCAAAAGCCCAAGAGGAAAATTAAGGAGAAGAGATTGTGGTGGTGATGTCCCTCCGGGGGATGATTTTTTCACTTTCTCTCTCTCTCTGTCTCTCTCTCTCTCACTCTCTCTGGTGAGCACATGCACCATGTTCAATTATTATACAAGAATATACTGTTCTGAGATTATTTTGATAAGTTATTATGAGTGATTGACAGAGAGTTTTGTCCTTGATGAAATCACTGAAGTGTCATTTGTTTTGGTCTATATTATGTTTCGTCTTGCATCTTAAACTGAACTCTACTGTTACAGCTAGATCAAAATTTTCTTTTATACAAACCTGTTTTTTCTGTTTTCGTTGAATTTTTATTTTTGACCTAGCATGACTTTTTTTTTGGTAAGAAATCTTATAAAAGTATATTTGATGTTTACCTCTATGAAAAATAGTGGTGACACCCAAGCTCAGAAAAAAATATATAGCCTTTTATTTTCTTATCATTATTTGATTTCACAACTCTCTCTTATATCTTAAAAGAGCTTATGATATCCTTTCCTCCCAATCACCAAGTAAAACTTTATATATGAAACTAGTGACTTAAACAAAGTACTCTAACATCAGCCTTTTCAAGGAATTTTATATTTCTTCAGATCATTGACTATTCCCTGGAATATGATATTAAATATGACGATATTAGGCCCACTAAATTTAAAAGATTACTTTTCATTGAGTTGTCAGAAAAGTCATGACATATTTTTCCATACTTTTCTATGCAAAAGTGAGTCCTGACTTTTCTGAAGACACAAGAGTTGAATTGTGAGTTATTTTATATATATATTTATATATATAAATTATGTATATATTTTATGTGTATACACACATATATATGTGTATGTATATACACACATACGTACACATACATATATATTCAGAATTACTATGACTTGTGTTTTAGGATTTAAATAATCACATTCTTTAATATGAGGAGCTAAATGATACCTTTAAAATAGCTGATGAAAGTTTTTTCAATACTCTTTTGTTATTAGGTGACTTGGGCTCTTGGGATCTGCTCATTTGCCTGTCTTCTAGAAATGCTGATGGAAAACCATGCATATCCAAGCAGGACCTGTGCCAGTTAAGTTTACATCAAAAGGTAAAGTCTCACAACATGTGCACAGATCTTACCAATCTTATGGTTATTAGCACTGCTGTTTCTGTTCAAAGAAGTCTTGAAAAATTAGAACAATTTTATTTTTAGAGAAAGTTCCAGCTGGTCAGACCTTTCTTATACACCTTATCATTAGTCACCATTTTTGATGAACTAAGATCTTCCTCAGCTTCTGTTGTTGCCAATACTGTTGTTTTATGCATTGGGACCCACCCTTCATCTAGAATTCTGCACCCTGTTGAGTGTTGCTTGCCTGGGCCACTTACTCATCCAATCTAGAAGTGTTGTATTTTCTAGATAACTGGTTGGATTTTCTCAAATTTAAATTGGTATCTTAAATTGCAATAACATTTTCGCAATTTTTCTTTCTTCTTCATTTTTTTTATTTCTTATTTATTTATTGCTAGAAGATACCTGTGTTACCACAGTGAGGCAGAGAGGGAGAGGAGAAGCCCCCCCCCCCCCAACATAGGGCATGGTCACACAGCTCTCACTTCTCTTCCATCTCTCCCTCCTTTGGGGATTTAGGGCCAGCACAAATGCAAACTGCTGTGTCTCTGCAGCCGCTGGACCCGGGACTTGAAACTCATGACTGACCATGTGTGATCCAGCTGCCTTAACCACCAGGCTCCAGAGCCAGCCCTATAATTTCTTATTAACTCTTAAAATTGGCATTTTTTTAAAAACTATCTATACTGTGTAGAATTTCGTGAAATACTGTTGAAAAGTTAACTGCATATTATCCAAAGTCTACAATGTACTTAGTCACTGTGCGAACAACTTACCTATCATTGATACCTGTAACAAATCTGTGAGAAAAATACAAAACCAATAGTGATATTTTTAGACCCTGGTTGGTGCTGTAGCCTCCTACACTGATCTACCAATATTTCTAGAGTTAACAGTCTAGATAACACCTTCCTTTTTCTGACTCTTTCTTACACCCTTGTCCTTTGCACTGAGCACATTCTTTTGGGACTATTTGTCTTTGGCCATTCCTTCTCTGTTTCTACGTAGTCACCTTTTCTCTGCCTGTTCTGTAAACGCCCATCTCTCCTAACACTAGTCCCAGAATTTTAACTACCGTTGGTAGTTAATGAATCCCAAATCAAGATCTAAAGATGAGAGCACTTTCCCAGGCTTCAGGCCTACTGAACATCTTTGTTGGATATCCCATAGACACCTCAAACTCAACATGGTGAACACTCACTCATTGTTTTCCCCAGTGAATTCACTTCTGTTCTTGCGTTCAGAAGCTTTATGAGGTTCTGTTCAGTTGAGCTTAAGTATAGTCAACCACTCGATCATCTCTTAAAATAGAAACTTGGCTGCTCCTCTCAAACCCTTCCTCTCTCTTATCATCTACATTTGATCAACTGCTGGTTCTAAGGAATTTAGCTACTCAATATTTCTCAGAATTATTACCTACGCTCTATACTTACTGCCTTTATTTTGGTTCAGCTAGTCACCACTTCTCACCCAGATTATTACTAAATCCCCCTCACTGCTTTTGTTTGGTTCGGTTTTGTCTTATTTCGTTTGTTTTTAAACGATAGAGTGTGTGTGTGCATGTGCACCATACTCTTGTGTACTCATACAAGAAAAAGAGAAAGAGAAGGGCAGAGAGAGAAAACCGCTGCGACCCCCCCCCTTACCCAATCCTCCAGCTCTTCAGGATCTTGGGTGCCTATCCAGTCCTCCAGCTCTTCAGGATCTTGGGTGCCTAGGCATGTCTTTGGCGTGTTTTCAGGCCAATCCTGGGATCTAACCCTGTGTGGAGCCATGTGGCCTCTGGCACTGCAGGCTGTGCCATCTAAGCTGGGCCCTCACTGATTTTTCTGAAGCAAATATTTGATCCTCAAATCCATCCTGCCCACAGTGACCAGATGAAAAGTATAAAATTGTGCACTAACCTTGTTACTCCTGTGTTTAAAATCTTGAATGGCTTTCCCTCAACTCTAGGAGAAAATCTACAATATTTGTTGTATAATAGTTTTCCTGCAGGAAACAAGCAAATGCCATACTTGAAAGGGGTAAGTGAAGAAAAATGAATGAAATAACTATTTATAGAGATTTTGGCAGGAAAATAAACAAACTAGTGAGGCACTCAGGGACCAGCAGCATTATAAGAAATGGGTGTGTAGAAACAATGGTGTAGCCAGGAGCTAACGAGCTGGAGCCAAGAGAGGTGTCACTGGGAAGGAAAGAAAACTATAAACTTAGAGGAATGTAACCATTGCCAAATCCCAGGCCAGCAGAAAGGGGAGGCCTTGGGGATAAGTACCCCAAGTCTCTCTACTCCCATCCTCCAACTACTTGCCAGCACTTCCATTGGTCTAAGCCAACTGGTAGTTAAAAGGCAATAGAGTCTCCATTACGTCACTCATTGTAAGAGTCAGCCTCCTGGGAACAGAGCACAGTGGGGAGATCTGAAGAATAAAATGGCAAATATTTAGCACAATAAACTATTCAAGGTTCTTTGTGGGTACCTTGGGCCTAAAAGTACTCTTCTTCTATCTCTTTCTAGCTAGGATGACATGCTACAAATGATATTAAGCTGTGTATTGTTCCCTCAATGTCTATGTTGTTTTCGGCCACATTCCTTCACTCTTACTGTTCTATCTGCCTGGAATGTCCTTTCTCAGCTCTCCCTATCTCAGTGATTTTTAACCAGGAAAGATTCTGCATTCTTTGGCAATATTTGACAATATCTGCAGACATTTTCAGTTCTGTCACAGTAGGGGAGAACATGTGCTATTGGCATAAATAGGTCAAGCCAAAGATGCTGCTAAATATTGCATACTGCTCACAACGTAGAATCATTGGTCCAATATGGTAATAGTGTCAAGAATGAAAACCCCTGATGTGCTCCTCTGGCCAGAAGTTAGCTCCTCAGGTACTACAGGTATATATATGTCCTTGCCTGCCCCTTCTAGATACTTCCATACTTCTATACATACACATCTCTAATTTTATATTCAACCATCCTGTTTATTCACTCCCTTATCATCTACAAATGCAAGCCAGACTTCACTAGCTAATGACAAATAAGGTTACAGCGACATTGGTATGGACATCTGTTGGCCAATGCAGGTCACCCTGAGAAGCCATCCTATCTATCTCCCCATGGTATTATTCATGTATTTAGAAATACTATTTCCCATGTGCTGCTCCAGCCTCCCACTTCAGCCCACTAGACCAAAGGCACTAGAGAATCACTCTAACCACTGTGGTCGCCACTGATGTGCCTGTGATAGCTATGTTCTCTGCCCAGGGTGCCACCTACAGCTGCCAACTTCTTGTGGTGCTCAAAGTCCTCACATTCCCTCAGTTCTATCTGAAGTGGAACTCAACTTGGTTCAGCACAGAACAGGGAGATTGCTTCTCTGTCCAACTCAGTTTTTCACTTTGTTTCTGGACCCCCAAATGAATGGTTTACAGTCTAGCAGTATAAAGTCACATATAAAAACTCTGTGAGTCTGAGACCAGCAGTTAGTGTACTGACTATGTCGCTGAACTCCTATGTAGTCGACTGTGGTTCGAGTCCCAGACCCGGTGGCTTAAACTCACACTGGGCACGTGTGCGTGTGTGCCCAGGATCCCGAGAGGAGAATGGAGGAGAAGGGATTGTGGCGTGACCATCCCCCCTGGAGATGATTTCTCGCTTTCTGTCTCTCTGTCCCTCTCTGTCTTTCTGGCGAGCGCACAAGCCCTATAGCAAAAAAAACTCTCAAAAAAAAAAAAAAAGAAAAGAAAAAGAAAAAAACCTCTGCGAGTCTGATATTCCTCCCTCCCTGGGGCTTGGGCACCACTGCTCACTATCCAAAGGATTGAGGCCACGTTAATCTCTGTAGACTTCAATATCTTTTCCTGAAATGAAAAAGGATTAGACACTGGACAGTCTCCAAGACACTTGCTAGTTTTAAATTTGCATGTGAGTCATGAAAGACCAGTGGAATATATGATGAGGAGAACACAGGACAGATCAGCCAGTGTTGGCAACAGAGAAGCAAGAAGGAGGATGTGGGAGAAATAGTTAAAAAGGGAAATTACACGTTGCGCTGGTAACTCGGCTGAGATTCTCTTTTTTAACAATTTATTTTCAAACAGCTTTAGACTTACAGAAAAGTCGCAAAATTGAAACAAAGATTTCCCATGTACTCTTCACTGAGCTTATTCTAATTAACTTCTTATATAACCATGGTACATTTTCCTGAATGAAGAAATAAACATTGATGCAATTACTAAACTAAATTGTAAACATTATTTGGGTTTCATAATTTTTTAAAAAAATGGATGGCCATGTTCTGTTCCAAGATCTAATCTAGTGCCCACCATTACATTTAGTTTTTATGTCTCTTCAGTCTCCAATCTCTGAGAGTTTCTCTTTTTCCTTCATGACCACGGCATTGGGGTATCGGTCAGTGATTTTATTAAATTTATTTCAATATGGATTTCTCATGAAGTCATAGATTTTTGGGAAGAGTCCCCCTGAAGTGATATGACCTTCTTGAGATGAAATATCAGTGACTACAGGATGTTCATGTATCTTATTATTACTGACGTTAACTTTTCTTACTGGCCAAACTGGTGTTTGCTTTTTGACACTGTGGAATCACTGTTTTTCTTCTTGTAATTAATGAATGTCTTGTGAGGCATACTTTGAAGCTATGTGACTATCCTGCTTTCTCCTTGAACTTTTGTCTACTAATTCTAATATTCGAGGTCTTGCCTGGATCTTGCCCACAACAATTATTATTCTGGTATACTACTGTTCTGATGGTGATTTTCTTTTCTGTTTTTTTTCTTTTCTTTTCTTTTCTTTTCTTTTCTTTTCTTTTCTTTTCTTTTCTTTTCTCTTCTTTCTTTTATTTTTTAGAGCTATTTTTGCTATAGGGAGTGTGCACTCACCAGAGAGACCGAGAGACAGAAAGCAATAAATAATCCGCAGGAGGGATGGCCACATTGCAATCCCTTTTTCTCTA